TTCTCAATGTCCTCACCACGTCCCATGTCCATTAGGTCAGTGAGGCCACCAGTGGAGCAGTGCATTCGAATCAGGACCATCTGAGAGAGTGGCGTGTGAAGGGGTGGCTGACAGAGGCGTGGTAGGATGCCTGGCCTGGGCCCGAGGGGTGAGAGGAAGGAGAAGCAGAACCTGGAAGGCAAGAGAGAGCTGCACAAAATAGGTGACTAGGCAGCTCAAGGCAAGCTGGTAGGAACTGGGAAATAAACGCCCTTCTCCTTCCTCACCTTTCCACTCTGCTGGGGTTCCCCATCCACTAAACTCAACCTGAAGCCTGAGTACAAGCGAGTCTGTTTGTATAAGCTAGGCTGGACACATAGGAAGACTACATTTCCCAGAGGCCCTTGCAGTTTATGTTGGCATCATGAGACTAGGTTCTAGCCAATGGAAGTGCCTGACAGGGACATATGCAATTCTTTATAGACTTGGCTGAGAACTTCCAGAATGGTACTTCCCAGTGCTTTCTCCCCATGTGCACAGCTGGGAGAAAATGGCTCTAGGACAGAAGCCCTAAGTGCCCATTAGAGGAGAGCTGAGCAAGTCACCAAGTTGTGTGCAAGGAAGTTTCAATGTTTTAATCCAATGAATGTGTAGTTTGTCCCAACATCACCTTAAACCAGGTTTCTCAGCAGCCGTACTGGTGACATTTTGCACGGGGTACATGGTGTGGGGGTGGCCTCAACTAGGTGCTACTCTGTTTCCCCGAAAATAAGACAATGTCTTATATTAATTTTTTTCTCCCAAAGTTGCGCTAGGTCTTATTTTCAGGGGATGTCTTACCTTTCCACGCGGTAGGTCTTATTTTCGGAGGATGTCTTATTTTCAGGGAAACACGTTATTAGCACCCTCTCCCCTCCAGTTATGACAACCAATGTCTCCTGACGTTGCCAATCACCCCTGGGAGGCAAACTGCCCATAGTGAGAGCCACTGATGTGAGCCTTCTGGATAGTGTGCCAGGTGGGGGATAGGCCTGGGGCAGTTCACCTTAGAGCATGGAACTGTACAGTGCATTACAGAGGTGCTTATTTTAAGATGACTGCTTCATTGCAGCACTGTAACTGCTACACTGGAAACAGCAAGGAATAACAAGACAGAATTAATTGAATTAAGGTACAAAAAAGATGGAGCATTCTATACCCATTAAGTGATATAGACCTAACATATGGAAGAACATTCGTGTTTATTATGCAGCAATAGAAAAGTGTGTGTGGTAAAACTTTTTAAAAAATGTTTTTATTGATTTTAGAGAGACATGGAGGAGAGAAACAAAACATCAATCGGTTGGGACCGGTTTGGCTCAATGGATAGAGCCTCGGCTTGGGGACTGAAGGGACCCTGGTTCGATTCCGGTCAAGGGCATGTACCTTGGTTGCGGGCATATCCCCAGTAGGGGGTGTGCAAGAGGCAGCTGATTGATGACTCTTTCTCATTGATGTTTCTAACTCTCTATCTCTCTCTTCCTCTCTGTATAAAAATCAATAAAATATATTAAAAAAAATCAATCGGCTGCCTCTTGTACATACCCCACCAGGGGATTGAACCCGAAACCTGGGCACGTGCCCTGACCAGAATCAAACCAGTGACCTTTCTGCAAGAGGGATGATGCTCCAGCCGACTGTGCCACACCCACTGGGCTAACCTCAGGCTTGTTTGTGCCTCTGAGTGAGGTGTTCTTCCCTTTCATGAAAAGGTTAAACATTGTAGTCTATAAAATCAAACCAAAGGTTTACGAAACATAGAGCGCGTCTCTCTCTCCGGGATGTGTGACTAGCTGAATGGAACACATGAGAACAAGACTGAGATGGTTACACACAATATAGAGGTGTTTTTTTAGAAAGGCCTTTGGGAATACCTAAATAACTGCCCAAATTCCCACCAGGTGGTACAGTTTAGGTTAATAGTCTCAACTCTACTTTTACTTTTTCTAATTTCACACTCTACACCTCCCCCTCCCCCAGCCTTGGATTATGTACTTTTGCAATACAAAATAAGAAATGTATTACTCCATTTATCAGATTAGCATTAAGCAAGCGTAGGCTGTTTATCCTTGGAAGGCTGATTATCCACAAAATGATTATACTTTGAACTCAGGTGGAGGAAGTGTGAAAATAGAAATCTCAGTGTGTCGTATTTGGTAGTATAAGCATCAAAGTTAAAGAAACGCAGAGCTTCTATTTAATGAACTGATACTATTATTACCCTAACTTGGGTCAACTTCTAAAACATCATTGATGAGAAACACCGACTTATTCGCGAGTCATATACAGCAGTCTCAGTGTGGTACTTTTTCCTGTAACGCTGTGGAAGGCAGTTCAGATGACAGATGTGGACCTGTGCTGACAATGATCTTTATGAGTTGTGGTGTGATATAAAATACCGAATTGCCATCTTTAAGTCTCCTGGTGAGTGGGTAATTCATGTCATGATGTTCTGAGCAGGCTTTCTCCGAACACCCATTCTGCACATGGAATTCTTCACTTTAATGTGTTATTTTTCATCTCTGGCAAAGTTGCTGTGTGCCATAACCCTACGGAACGTTTTCTTGGTGTGAATCTGCCCCAGGCCTTCCTGGTGCGGTGCCACCATGTTCCACACCATCCCTGCCCAGTTCAATGGGGCTTTCTGACAGTGACAAGTTGACGAAATTTTATCTTATTTTTTATTAATTCTCACCCGAGAGTATTGTTTTCCATTGATATTCAGAAAGAGTGGAAGGGAGGGAGGGGGAGAGAGAGGAAAGGAGAGAAACAGCCATGTGAGAGAGACATCAATTGGTTGCCTCCCACTCCTGCAATGTAGGTATATGCCATTGATAGGGAATCGAACCCAAGACCCTTCGGTTCGCAGGCTGATGCTCTAACCACGAAGACCACTGGATTGATGAGATTAGACAGCAGATTTCTTAGTCCCAGAATCTGCTATACTGAGTTATCAGAAGTCACAGCAGGGTGAATTTGTCCTGCTGTAAGTTATGAGTTTCTTTTTAACTAACAAAATACCCATTGAGGTCTGTTTTAAGAAGTTTTAAATATAAACTTACATGCTTAGTTCATGTTTAACCAAGGAAGCAAAAGGCTAAACAAGTGCTCTGACACAGGCCAACTAACTTTAGTTCTGTATTTAGAACTAATTTGTCCTGGAGGATGTGACTCAGTAGGACAGGTGGAAACTGGTGCACCAAGAGACCTCAGGTTCGACTCAGGACACATGGCGGGTGGGTAGGAGGCAGCTGATTGATGCTTCTGTTTCATCAATGTTTCTCTCCCTCTCCCTCCCTCTCTCCAAGAAAATCAATAAAAGCATGTTGTTGTTGTTTTTTTTTTAAAAGAACTAATTTATTACAGTCGTTTTTAAACACTGAATGTGAAATATTACAATGGTCAATACCAAATATGTTCAAAGGAAGGACAGTCAATTCTTATTCAGGCATGCACTCAATATTTTAATTATCTTTATAAGAAATGTGTTAGCTTTTGAACAATGCTATTTTACACTGTACAAAAGGCAAAAAATTAGAATAAGACATAACTGTAATTAAAGGCTCACTTTCTGCCCATACAAAACCACTCCTTCCACACACAAGGGAAAGGGCGATCACAGCCTCACTCACCTGGTGAAGCGCCAGTGCACCCAGATGGCTGAACCACCACACACATCACCTTTGCTCTCGGAACTTCTGCGTGATCACAGACTGATAATGATAATGAATTAATGCCACGAGAGTACCATAGTAACTCTCTTGGAATATTATTTTCCTTTTTCTTAAAAATATATTTTTATTGACTTGAGAGAGAGAGGGAAAACATCAGTGATGAGACTCATTAATGCTGCCTGCTGCACGCCGCACACAGGGATCTAGCCGCACCCCGGTGCCCTGACCCGGGTCCAGCCGTGACCTCCGGGCTCCTAGGCCCACGCTCAGCCTCAGAGCACGCCGCTGCCGGGCGGGGAAGATTTTTATAAAGTTTCACTGGCAGTTACTTAAAAACGTCCTCCTGCTTAGCAGGTCAGCGCAGCAGGCGGTGAAGCCTAGGACAGCTGGGGAGGAAGGGCTTACTCGGACCCGTGCTCAGGCGCCGCGGGCCCAGGCGGGGCGGGAGGCCCCAGGACGCGGGGACCCGGGTAGGATGGAGGGTGCGGGCGCCTCTCCGTCCTCTCCGGCGACAGGATGACGTCAGAGCGGGACCGCGTCACCGCCGCGTCGTCCGTGGCTCCGGGGGAGCGGAGCGGGCTCGGCCCACAGCGCGGTTCCGGCGGGGAGACGCCCACCGGCTGGGCAGGGAAGCGGGCACCTCGGTCAGCGGCGGGGACCCGACTTGTTCCGCTCCCGGCCAGGACCGGCCCTCCTCGGCCGCAGGTGCGAGGCGTCCCCTCGGGGGTCCGAGCGTGCGGCCACCGACGAAGCTCAGTGCTCGGTGCTGAAACGCTGAAGCTCCGAGATCCGAGGCCGCCGGCCTTCGCCCCGCCCCCCGCCGCGGCCCCGCCCCCCGCCGCGGCCCCGCCCCTCGCCCCGCCCCGTTTCCCGCCGTGCGCACGCCCGGCCCAGGGGCCGCGCGTGCTGCCGGGAGGGGCAGCGTGCCCTCTCTCCAGGGCCGGCCCACTCCGGCTGCGCGTGGGGGGCGCTCGTTTCCCCGCGTGCCCCCCGCCCTCTCGTGAGGGAGCGGCAGCCATAACAGCCCTTGTTCCTGGAGCGGGCTACGCTCGAGCCGAATTCTGGGGCCCGCGGGCCGCAGCGGAGGCGCCGGGCGGTGCCGGCTGCCTGCCCACCCCTCGGCGCTCCCCCCGGCATCCCGCGGATGGTGCGTCCCGCAGCGCGAGCGCGGCTCCCGCGCTTGGGTCGTTCTGCGCGGGCGGGGCGGGGCGCGGAGGGCGGGGGAGCGGGCCGGACTCGCAGCACCGGGCCCGGGCCGACCCGTAGGGCACTTTGCCCCGCGGGCCCCGGGCGGGAGCCGCCGCGACCATGGCGGACCAGGCGCCGCAAGTTCCCGAGGACTTGTTCAGGGAGGTCAAGTACTACGCGGTGGGCGACATCGACCCGCAGGTACCGCGCCGCCCCCGCCGCGCGTCTCCGGCCCGCCCCGTCCCCGCCGCGGGCGCGCGCTCGGACGAGGAAAGTCGGGACCCCACCGCCCGGTCCCCGCCGGCCGGGCCGCGCGGAGGCTGGGCCGCCCGGCGCCGAGCAGGCCTGGGGCCGGCGCCCGGGGAGGCAGAGAGGGGGCCGGGGGCGGCTGCGGGTCCCCGGAGGGGCTCGGGGCGGCTGCGGGACCCTGGGGCAAGCCCAGACCGAGGAGGGCAGAGCACGTGGGTGGGTCGGCCCCTGAGTTCCTGTTGCTCAGTGTCCCCGAGTCCTAGCTCGGCCTAGCGCTGCTTGCCGAGCTGACCGTCCTCCGCCTGGCGTGGCCGGGCGTCCGGTCGCGTGGCTGTAAGCCCCGGGCCCCGACCCCGCGGCCGCCTCCGGAAGCGCACGGCCCTCTTTCCAGGCGGGATCGGGACAGGTGCCTGCCGTGCCGGCCGCGGTGTCGGCTCGCGCGCGGGGCTGCTAGCTGGCCCGGCCGGGGTGGCAGCCGCCCAGCTGTCATCTGTGCGCACTCGAGAAGCACTCGCTTCACCAGCGAATTTGGATTTCTGGGTCTTCCTATTTGGGTATTGGGTGAGTTATGGAGTAAATGTAGAAAAGACCCACTTAGCACCACCCACATTCACCCTTTGAAACTTTCTAGTGTGGGCTCGTGCGAAAGGTTATCGAGGCTTTTCCTAAGCTTTTTCTCAGTGATACATCCGTTTAAATGCAGTGGGAACCAGTCTTAGTTGAATAACCTCTTCCGGTTAATCTTCTCCCTTTCATTATGCAGTTGTGTGGCCCAGGATCTCATCCCCAGTGAGTGCCCAGCCGGGAGGAAGGTGTGGGGAGCGGGAGGAGTGCAGATGGGGGTTAGCGAAGGCACAGGGCTGGTGTAGAAGGAAAGGTGGTGTGGAAGGCGCTGTGGTCTTGGCAGTCTGGAGGCTTGTGCTTGGTGTCCTATTAACCAGACTCCCCATGGTGTCCCCAGGTGATACTTCCCTCTCCTTTAGGGTGAAGGGACTCTAGCTTTGAATGTAAACATAAACAGGCTCTGCACCCAGCGTGATTATGTGAGCCTGTGAGGATGTTAGTTTTTTCCAGTGCTGGTAACTCCCCTTTCTTTCACCCCATCTCATTTAGGACTTGAACCCCATGCTACTTAAAACCTGGAGCAACTTATGTTGAACCATATTTGCTCAACAGTGTTAAGTCAAATCTAAGAGCTTAAAGTTTTCACAAACCACTTGGATCTGCAACAGTTTACTAAAAAGTATAGAGCCGGAACACCTGATTCTCTGGATCCTATAAGTATGGGCTCAGAAAGTTGACGCATTGAACATCAGTGCACGACAGGCATGGCACTGGGTCTGGGTGTAACAGAAAGATGGGTCTGGGTCTGGGTCTTATGGGTGGCAAGGGCGGGTGGCACACCTGAGCGTGTTAGCATAGGGTGCTGGGTGCTGGGGTGCCTAGGGGAAGGCACCACTGAAATGCTCCCGAGTAGCATCCTTTCCCATGGGTCCTTCACTCAGGTTCGGGTGGGACATATGCCAGGAGAGGATGCGTCCGTGTGTTTGGGAGACGTCGGCTGATGGGTGGACCCTGAACAGAGGGAGCAGAGGTGCCTGCAGGCCGTGATGGGCAGTGTGGAGACTGGACAGGCTGGTGCCTTGGGCATCTTCAGAGTCCTTTGGGCCTGCAGGCATCGGCAGTGAGGATGTTGGCAGATGCTGGGCAGCAGTGAGGGTGTGAAACCCAAAAGGCTGCCTATTGTTTCAAGAGATGAGACATGGCAAGGCAGCAGCGATGGGCCAGGGCAGGGGCTGTGTCTGTGCATGTGCATGTGCATGTACACAAGACGTGGCCACTTGGAACTTTGTAGGCAGCGGGGAGAGGGTGAAGTTTTCAGACTCTTAGAAAAGGCAGTAGGATCCGGAGCCGAGTGGAGGCATTTTCTGTGAGACGAGTTGAGCGCATGTAAAGCTAAAGATGCTTGGAGGTCAGGGGAGAAGGAAAGTGAGCTGGTTTGTGGCTGGTGACGATGGTGCCTTCATTCGGGAGACAAATACTGGCGTCTGTTCCAGTCCTATGGATGGGCGGGAACGTCCTAAAGAGGTTGACCCTCTCCTGGGTAAACTCAGGAGCTCTGGCTGCCATCTCACTAATCTAAACTTCCTTCTTTTCTGGTCCCCACCTGCCCATGTGCTCCGCCTTTTGTGCTGGTCTGTGGTTCCCAGCACTTCATCCTTTCCTCCTGTGCCTACACCCCTTGCAGTCACCAGTCAGTATGTCCTGCTAGGTCTCTCACAGGTCTCTTCTTCCTCCCCCTTCCTTAGGTCATGTGCCTGCCCCGTCACCTGGTTATTGCAGCCACTCCTCCCAGGTCATCTGGCCCATTCTGGAGCCATCCCAGTCCATTCTTTGAACTGACCGTCAATCTTTCTAGAAAATCTGATCATGACTTACCTGCTCCCATCCCTCCTGCCTTCCCTGAGAATAAAGTTGCATAGCACTGAAGAACGTGTATGCAGTGCATTTGTGCTTTCTGACCCGTGGGAACATGGCTCTCTCTACAGCGCAGCATTGTCCTTGCCTCGTTAATTGTTTTACATTCACAAGGATTCTGCTCATGTCCAGTGAGTCCTCAGCTTCATCAGTAGGTTCTTGGACCTGCAGCAAAAGGACATGTCACATGGACAGAAACCGGAGTTCGCGTCCTGCGGTGTCCGGTCAGGGACCTGCTGTGTCCCTCCCCGGGCCTCTGCCTTTGGCGGTGAACACCCATCGCCAAGCCAGACCAGATCTCGGGCGCACGGGGCTGTGCGCTAGGTGTCTGTCAGTCCTCTGTCTTCAGCACTGACACCTGTGGCACCTGCTCAGAGTACCTCCCTGCTCACTTGTCAGTGAACCAACAGTTTCTGCTTTTCATTGTCCCCTAATGTTTCATTGACTATGAGAGTACAAGGGGTGTATGGAGAACAAGGTGTGTTTTTAATTTAGAATGTTCATGTTCAGACTAATTTGTACACCAAGAGTGCAATGCGGAGTTTTAATGTGTGTGGTTTCTTTAAAGGTTATTCAGCTTCTGAAGGCTGGGAAGGCTAAGGAAGTGTCCTATAACGCACTGGCCTCGCACATCATTTCTGAGGATGGGGACAACCCGGAGGTCGGGGAGGCCCGGGAAGTCTTTGATTTACCTGTTGTGAAGGTCAGTAGCAAATATTTTTTAATACCCCGGAGTGAGATTTGTATGTAGGTAACACCCCATGGTTTGTAATGTATGTGTGCATTGGGCCCAGCGACACCCAGGCTGGAGGAAGCAGGCAGGCCGCCACCTGCAGATCCCTGTGACTGTGACCGCAGACTGTGTCGAAAGGAGTCCTTTCCAGAGAGTCGGCTTCCTTCCGCAGCCCTTCCTGCAGCCTGAGGACACCCCTTCACAGTTGTCCCTCTCCCCTGTCCACCATCGCCCATGAAGTCCTGGTACCCTGCATTGCCCCATGGCTCTGAGTAGCCTCAGGACACATCAGAGGAATTCCTTTCTAGAAACTGGGTCTGAGCAGACCTGAGGGGCTCTGGGTGCTGCTGCTGAGAATGCCCGGCTCATGCGAAGGCGTTCTGAATGCAAGAGGGTCAGAGCAGGGTCACCGATGTAGTTCCTGTTCCAGCTTAGCTGAAGTCCGAGAGTTTGATAGAGTCAGCCGATGTGAAGATACACTAGCTACGTGCTTTCTTAGAGCCAGTCTCCATTTCATAAAGTGGTTCATGTTCCTGCACTCTGTCTGCAGAAGATAAACTTACGCTGAAAGGTTGTTGGCGTTACCTAAAAAAGGATGAGGGGTACTTACCTTTCCAAAGTTCTTAAAAAAAAAAAAAAAAATATATATATATATATATATATATATATATTTTATTGATTTCAGAGAGTGAGGGAGAGAGAGATAGAAACATCAATGATGAGAGAGAATCATTGATTGGCTGCCTCCTGCATACCCCCTACTGGGAATCGAGCCCACAACCTGGACATGTGCTCTGACCTGGAATCGAACTGTCCTCCAGGTTCACAGGTTGACGGTCTGTGCACCTAGGAGAATCTCAGTAAACATCAGCATGGAGCTCATGCGGGAGTGTGCGCATGTGTCAGCTGGTGAAGTCCTAGAGCCGGCAGGCTAAACCGGGCATCACTTGATTTTTACATAGCGATTTCGTGAAGCAGAGCTATCTGTATAGTGATTCATGTACTTCTTACAATTAAATATAAAAAATAAAAGGTAAGATAATTTAAAAATATATGAAGTATCCCCCAAAAGTAGTGATTGACTTACGGTTTTATAATTAATCTGAGTTTTAGAATTTATAAAAAGTTATCTTGTACAGTGTACTGACATCGTGTCTCTTGGGCTTCACAGTTCTCACCTTATTTGATCAGGATCAAGAAGAACTTAGGAGGGGCCAGTACAGGTTGGATAGGAGGCAGGGGTCCTCAGTTGGCAGGACAGTTTCAAGCAGTAACGCGTGGAATTAAATTTTTATACATAATTTTTAAGCTTTCTCCTTGGGCACTCACAGTGAGCCTTTGACCCTGGCGTTCCTGCTATGTGAATACCATCGCCGCAGGGTGGGAGCTTCGTGGTCGGTTATAACCGAGCCGTTAGTGCCTAGAGACACTGGGAGAGCATGTCACTTTGTAAGTTGTAAACACCCTTTGATTGAGTCCTGTTTTCTTTTGCAGCCGTCCTGGGTGGTTCTGTCTGTGCAGTGTGGAGTGCTCCTGCCGTATCCTTTTTGGGGAAGAGAAGGGGTGAGAGCATTGACGCCTGATGTGGGAATTGCTGTGTTAGAAGTGGGTTCCGCGGTGAATTGTGTTGTGTCCATCCTGTGTCCTGACATGTGGCAAAGGTGAGCGGTCGAGTGGACACAGCTTCAGGCTCCAATTACGCTGCTAACACTTTAGGGCCGGGACGGAGGTGACGTCATGCAGCCCCCTCTCTTCTGCTCTGGGCCAGGCTGTTCCTGCAGACGCCTTTATTTCTGTTGGATTGGTGCCGACAGCGAGCATCTCATTGCATTAAGTATTTACAGGACCTCAAATAAACAGGAAGTAGCCCTTTATACGCAGTTCTTGGGTGATCTGCAGAACTTGAGCAAGTCCGGCCCATTGTAAAGAGTTAAAGGAGCCCCAGCCGGTTTGGCTTAGTGGATAGTGCGTCGGCCTGCGGACTGAAAGATCCTGGGTTCGATTCCAGTCCAGGCCATGTGCCTGGGTTGCAGGCTTGATCCCCCAGTAGGGGACGTGCAGGAGCCAGCTGATCAATGATTCTCTTTCATCATTGATGTTTCTCTCTCCCTCTCCCTTTCTCTCTGAAATCAATAAAAAACCAAAAACTGAGTGAAGAATTTTAAAAAAAGAGAGATAAAGGTAATGGGTTTTGGTTGTATTTGGGGGAGGGGTGTTTTTATGAACAGGGAAAACAGACTGGGAGTGGGGGTACCTCTGCAGATGAGAGGTTAGTGCTGCATGGGTCGGGCACCCTCCTCACAGGCGCCCTCAGAAGGCCATCCTCCAGCCACCACTTGGCATCCCGGAGAAGCTCCAGGGTCTGAGGGCATGCGGGTCTCGGACCACATCTTCCAGCTTTCCCTTGTTCCTGCTTTGCCAAGTGTTGGCCAGCCAAGGGGCCCAGTGAAGGCAGGAGTACGGCGATAGGGCTGGCGGCACGGGGTTGGGGTGTAGAGGGCCCCGCTCGCTGCAGGCTTGGGTTAGCGGTTCTCGGTGTGCCTGGGTAGGAGACCTCACAGTGAGTAGGTTTCCAGTCTGACAGTTAGTTCTCTTTGTTCACCCAGCTCGATAGGTGAACTTTCTCCTATAGGGCCAGGATTGCAGGAACTCCACAGCCTTCAGAAGAGGCGTGTGAGCTCAGGCCAGGCTGGCTGTGGGCCTCTGAGCCCAGAGCCTGTGCAGGGACAGCTGTGTCCTGTTGGCTCACAGACGCTCTTCAGGCAGGATTGTGAGTAAATTTTAAAGTCAGCTTTAGAAGGGCGTTCTGGCTCTAGTATTAGCAAAGGGAGCTGAAGCTCAGGGGTCCGGCCTGTTCTCACAGTAGTGTAGCTCAGGCCCTTTCACGAGGGCTTTATTGCTGCACAGCAACAGGGATAACACTCGAGACTGGACTTGCTCTGAGAAGCCGCTCTGCCCAGTGTATGGGCATGGGCACGCGTGTGCTGGCTCTTGGGCCAGGCGCTTGCTCACTGGCTTTGGGAGCGCCCTCACAGCAAACCTCTGCTCCCTGTGCTGTCGCCTCCTCTCCCAGTCCCCTGTGCTCGGGTCACCTTCGGTCTGTGTCTTCCTGTGGTGGGTGAGTGAGTGTGAGTGTGCGTGCACGTGCACTGCAGGTGGCACTGCTCTCATTGCATTGGAATCTTAACTCTCCATCAGAGTCAACGGATTTTCTCCCGAGTCCTGCCAGACCTTTTTTGGAGTCATAGCCTGCCTGTCCCAGGTGAGCACACCCGCGGTCACTCTCGTGTTATCGTGTTTGTGCACAAGCGTTGCTGAGCTGCGTGCTCCGTGGGGCACAGCGGTGTAGACAATCATGCTTCATTTCCAGAAGTGGGTGATGAGAGAAGGAATAATTAATGTTTTCTATTGTATTCTGTCCTCTCAACCCCCAGCAGAAAACACCCTCTAGCTATAAAAAATGATTATAAAAAAATCAACTTGCTATTAAACTTACTTTAAAATTACATAGAGAAATTTATCTCGAATTACTAGTCAGTGCACAGTGCCTCGGCACGTTGCCCTCCTGTGTGTGCTCGTGATCCTGTTCCGTGATCTGGGCCTCAGTGTTTGGAGGAAAGTGTTTAGTCCCATCTTGGGACAAGCCTTTGAGTCAGGATGTTAGGTGAGATGAAAAAAAATTTAGATTGTAGTCTTGCTTTTTAAAAAATGCCTTTCTAATAGAGGACTATGGAACCAGTAATATTTAGCTTGAAATTGAGAGGTTATTGGCCATAATTTCATTTCAACTGTCTCAGCCATCTAAGCAATAAGTAAGCTTAATTATGGTTATGATGGTTTTGTTTGTATCTCGTAAATTCTGGAAGCTCTGGAAGATTATAAAATCCCTTAGTTTTGTTTTTGTTACATCCACTTAATACACATCCTTGAAAATTTGACTTTTTTTCCCCTCAGGAATAGGATTTTTTTTTTTTAATCAATCTTTATTCATATTATTACAAAGGTTCCTCATTTCTTCCCCCCTCCACCAGGTTCCCACCCCACCCTCCGTCCCCTCCCCATCCCCCATTGTCCTCATCCATAGGTGCACAGTTTATGTTCAGTCTCTTCCCTCCCTTTCCCCGATAGTAAATCCCTTTTCAGATAGTAAATCAGTTACTTAGCATTTTCTCATATCAATAATACCTCCACATGCCCAATGATACACTTCACACAAAAGACATTTCCCAATAGGTCAACCAGCCTCATCCAGGCCCCACCCAAGGCACTCACAGATCAACACCCCAGCCCTATACTAACTCCACACATCCAGATCTAAGCATTCATCACTTGATTCAGCAGACCCTCAAGTTCCCGCAAAAGTTTCCAGCCATGTCTGAGAGGCAGCGTGGGGCAGGGGCAGGCGAGGAGCGAGCTGTTCCGGGCCTGGCTGCTCAGGGCCTGGCCTCTGTTGCTCTGGTTCGTTCCATAACCAGCTGCTCCGGGTCTGGACACTGCCACTCCCGACCTAGTTGCTCGGGACATGGCTGCTGCTGCTCCGGGCCTGGCCGCTCCCAGCTTGGCAGCCGCTGCTCCGGGCCTGGCCGCACCCGATCCGGCTGCTCCCCCAGGCCTGGCCGCTCCCAGCCTGGCAGCCGCTGCTCCGGGCCTGGCCGCACCCGACCCGGCTGCTCCCCCGGGCCTGGCCGCTCCCAGCCTGGCAGCCGCTGCTCCAGGCCTGGCCGCACCCGACCCGCCTGCTCCGGGCCTGGCTGCTCCCAGCCTGGCAGCCGCTGCTCTGGGCCTGGCCGCACACGACCCGGCTGCTCCGGGCCTGGCCGCACACGACCCGGCTGCTCTGGACCCGCTGCCCCGGGCCCGGCCGCTCCGAGCCTGGCCACTCCCGGCCTGGATGCTCTGGGCTTGGCTACTGCTGTTCTGGGTCTGGCTGCTCCCACCCCGGCTGCCCTGGGCCCGGCTTCTCCGGGCCTGGCCACTCTGGGTCTGGGTGTTCCTGGACTGGCCACCCTGGGCTTAGCCGCCTCTGCCTCAGGCCTGGCTGCCACTGCCCCAAGTCTGGCTGCTCCAGTGCTGGCTGTTGATGCTCTGGTTCTGGCTGCTGTTGCTCTGGGGCCTGGCCGTTGCTGCTCCGGGCCTGGCTGCCACTGCCTTGTGCCTGGCCACTCTAGGCCTGGCCGCTGCTGTTCCAACATTCTGTCCTTTTTTTTCCTTTTTTTAAAAAACGCATTTATGTTGCAATGTTGGCTGGTGAGTTGAGTTCAGACTTAGTCTTTGATTTTTCAAGAACTTCTTTGTATTCTTAAGTAATTTTATTATCTTTTGCTCTCACTTGATTTCTTCACATTGAGAACTTCTTTGGTTTCTTCCTCCTTGTCCTGGGAGCTCAGCAGGTTGACCTGTGGCACCCCTTTGTTCTCCACGGGGTCCTGCGCTGCTTCAGCCTGTTGCCGGGGACGGCGCCGCCCAGGAAGCAGTCCCCGGCCTTGGCTCCATTGCCCGCGCTCAGCGGTCGAAGGCTCAGGGGCACCCAACCCCCCATGGTCCCCGTCGCCCGGCTCCTTGCTGGTGCCCGGTTGGCCGGTGTCCGGCAGGGGCTCCTGCTCCCCGCCATGTTCCCCCAGCCCGGAGCTTTTTTTCTCCTTCCCGCTAGGGGAGTCCAGCATCAGAGTCAACAGACTGTCCTCTGCGTGCAGTGTGTGTGAGTCCGGGGGCCCGGCCTTTAGCCGCTCTCCCCGGACTCCACCTCACAGTCCTGTCTCCCTCTGCCTGAGCCTGGGTCCCGAGGGATTGGCCCAGAACTGGGGTTCGGAGCAGTCCGGACTGAGGCTCAGCACCGCCGGAGGCCTTGTTTCTTCCGGCTAGGGTAACCCAGCATCAGAGTCAACATTCAGTCCTCTGCGCGCGCATTGTGCGCGACTCAGGGGGCCCTGCTTTTCGCCGCTCTTCTGGGATTCCACCTCACAGCCCCGTCTCCCCCTGCCGGAGCCTGGGTCCCCAGGGTCTGGCCCATAACTGGGGCTCAGCGCTGCCGGTTCGGGGGGCTCAGCGCTGCCCGTTCGGGGGTTCAGCCCAGGCTGGGGGTTTTACTTCCTTCCTGCTATGGAATGCCAGGCAGCACCCAGCCCTCTCCTCCTCTCCGGCTGCAACCTCTCCGCGCGCGCGTGCGGGCAGGCGCGCAGCATATCTCCGTACCTTAGGCTTTTTTTCAGCTCCTCTGATTTTCCTTCTGGTTTTCTCTTTCCTTCTTGTTGTAGAATTTTCAGTCAGTCGACTACCTGTAGCTCTGGGCAATGTCCACTCTACATTTTAGTTGTATTCCATTGAAATTGTTGTGTGCTGCCGCGGCTAGATGTCTACCCGAGCAGCCATCTTGGATCTCCTCAGGAATAGGAATTTTATTGGTATTTGCATCTTAATGTTTTTCACGTTAGTGCTATAGATGCATATTTACATGGTGATTTTTAAATGAAAGCCCTTTAATGATAGTTACTGTGGTCACATGTACTTTTTGTTATTTCCTTATACTTCTCTGTATGTTCCAGATTTAGAATAAACATCAGAAAACTTAAAAGTGAAAAAAATTTTTAATATCGCTCATGCATAAATACAATGTTTTCTGGCTAAAATGTGCATTTCACACGTAGTTGTATTTGTCTTGCCTGGATTTCTGGGTTCAGAGCTTCAGAGCCCACTGTCCCGAGGCTCGAACTGAAAGAGAAAGTGGGAGGAAGAGGCTGGGCAGGGAGACGAGGATGTCAGGGGCCAGGCCACAGTAATGTGGGGTTTAGCAGGGTTGCCTTGGGGAAATAAACAAGCAAAGGGCCTTAGAATTACACAATTATTATGTAGTTATTATTAATTGAGTGCTAGAGAACATTTTTAGTCTTGAGAGGAAAAACTTAACAGCTGCATTTAACGAAGGTCATGTATGTAGTGGATTATTACATAACTAGAGGCCCAGTGCATGGATTTGTGCACCAGTGGGGTCCCTCGGCCTGGCCTGTGCCCTCTTGCTGTCCAGGACCCCTCGGGGGATGTAGTACTGCCAGTTTTGGCCAGATCCCCGCAGGCCATGCCCGAAACAGCAGTCTGAGATCCCTCGAGGGATGCAGTACTGCCGGAGGGGCTTGATCCCAAGTCTGGCCGGTGCCACACTGCTCCTGCCCGTCCTGCCGCTGGTCCTGCGCTGCCGCCGCTCTGCTCGGTAGTGCAAGCAGAGGCAGGAGAGGCTTGCACTGCTCAGCTGTGCTCACCAGCCCCGAGCCCGGCTGGCTTCTGGTGCCCCTCGATCAGCTGAGTGGCGCTCCCCTGTGGGAGTGCACTGACCACCAGGAGGCAGTTCCTGCTTTGAGCATCTGCCCCCTGGTGATCAGTGCACATGATAGCCTCGGTCAGACAGTCTAGGCCAGACAGCCTAATGGTTGAACGGTTGCTCAGGGTTTAGGTTATAGATATACATGACATGGAGGGTGGCTATGTGTGTAAACATCTGTGCCCGAGTCCCGGGTCAGGTGGCACAGGTGCTGACTTCTAAGCTCAGAGGAGGCAGCTGTTAGACTCCAGTTAGGACCCTTGGTGGAGGGTGTCAGATTGAGTGGGCCTGAAAGAATGGGCAGAATTGGAGTAAAAATGGGGCAGGGAGAGGGCTTCCCAAATAGAGCAGGTGGGAGGGGCAGCGAGGCCTGGCAGCCTGTGCAGAGTGTGCGGGAACGGGCCTGAGTCAGGGGTCCGAGTCTGAACCTGGTGAAGGAGCTGGCGGAGGGGGCTGCGTTATGTTTCACTTTGGATTACAAATGTTTCCTAGGACATTTGGAAAGCACAGGACAAGCAAACAAAATCGAACCCCTGAAATCTTGTAGATGACACTGGTTTGGGGCTGTTAGCTGACTGAGGCGGGGAAGGATGGGAGTTTATGGGAGAGACCGGTCCAGTCTTTAGATCAGACAAAGGTTTGGATTGGGCTCAGCCCTGTGGGTGGACACGCCGCACTGAGGCACTGACCACACTGAGGCCCTGACCGTGGAGCCAGGTGGAGCCTCAGGTACGGGAGAGGCTGCGCCTACCCTGTGGGAGGTGCTTCCTCCTAAAACCGGGGTCAGAACCTCCCGCCCCCTCTCCAGTGCTCTGGTTGGTGGTCACATGGCTGCTGGTGTGAAACAGGAGCTGGGTTCTGAGGGCAGGGGAGGAAGCCGGTGTGAAAGGCTGTATACCTGGAGGAAGGGCAGGGCATCTTTACTGCCTCCCACAGAGGGGCATAGAGGG